ATAGATAGATAGATAGATAGATAGATAGATAGATAGATAGATAGATAAAGCTCCTGTGTGTGGCTGAATGTGAGCGTTGATGACTGGAAGACATCTTTTGCCTCCATTTATCTGTTTACTACAGTCTGTTGGACTCATCTTCATGTGGATTTAAAGACATTTACATTAGTTGAAACAATATTTTTTAAAAGTCTAATCAACCAAAACTTTGGCGACCCCCATGCAGAACCTCCAGGACCCCCTAGGGGGTCGTGGACCCCCTGTTGAAGACCTTCGGGTTAAATAATTAGCCAAATCTCCTGTCACTCATAAACGGGACAGAAAGCCTCATGTGAAGGCACACAGGGCCAGATGTTCTCCTGGTCAGTGGCCAGGATTCCAGCATCTGCAACCTCCTTTGGTCCAAGTCTCTTTGGGTGGTCGGACGGCTCACATTTCCCATGATGCACCTGTTTTACTTCACTCTCCTTTTGTAACTCATGTTGCCCTGGTTATACATCACATGACTACCAGAGGTGCAGCATTCACACCTACATGTTTCAGAAACCTGGGATTTCATTAGAAAAAAACAGCAGAATAAGAAATGTCCTATAAGGCTTGAACCGGGTGCATCTATGGTTACTCACCAGTCGAGAAAAGGGCGCCTTTCTGATCAGAAGATCGGTGCTCTTCTGGTATTTGCGGATCTCCATCAGGGCCCTGGTTCCTGGTCTGAACCGTTTCTTCCTGGGAGAAATGGGAGCCCCCTCTGGAAAGCAGAGTGTCTGTTAGCTGGAGAACTTCATCAGAGCACTTCCAGACTCTCCTCTCTGGTGGAGCTTCTGGTTAAAGCTGCTAATTCCAGCCTTACTTCTGCTGCCAGAGGCCCAGACTGCCAGGGATTTCCCATGATGCACCTCTCCCCCCTCTCCATTCTCTCTCTCATTCCAGCCTCATCCCTTTAATGATGTCACTAACTGGACTTCCTCTCTTTCCCATAGTCCTGTGCTTCTCCTCCATCACCTCCTGGAACTGTGGAGTCTGGATCTGTGGTTAAATAATTTCCCTCTGGGATTATTAAATTATTTTTCATATTCTCATTAAAATAGTTTTTAATGGTTTTAAAGCTGTTTTGGGGGGGCTTTAAGGCTGTTTTGGGGGGTTTAGAGCTGTTTTTGTGGGCTTTTAAAGCCTTTTTGAGGGCTTTTGGCTCTGGCCCTCCATCTCTCTCTCTCCTCTCTGTTCCTCCTCCAGGTTTGTTCCCCCTAAAGGCAGTTGTTTCCTCCCTGTGTCTCCTAGTGCTGCTCTTGGTGGAACTGTAGTTCTTCTGGAAATAACTCAGAGTGTGAGCTGCTCTGGTTAAAGCTGGGAGATTCCTGCAGTTGTTGTTGGGGTCTGGGGCTAACTGCCCTGCCCACAGAGCGCCACGCGGACACCCACCTGCAGGGGGCTTCCTCCGGGCGGAGCCCCTGGACGGGCCCGGGGCCGGGAGGGGGGAGCGGCGCTGGGGGGTTTTCCCCTTCCGCCGGCTGGCGGATGAGTCGTGCTTCATCTCGTCCTACCTACAGTCAGGGGTCAGAGGTCAGGGGGGGGGGGGGGGCAGTCATGATCTGAGTGAGGGGCCTAGGACACTTCAACTATTTGAATCCACGTACAGCTTTTGCTCCACAAACATCAGAACATAAAGGTGTTAACGTCACCATTTAGTTCGCTTTTCTTTGGTCTGATAAACGACAAAATCCCGTGCAAGCCTTTGTTAGTGCCCCCCTGCAGGAACAGTTATCTGCCCCCCCCCCCTTGCAGGAACAGTTAGCCAAACCGCTCCAGACTTAGGCGATGAAATGCATTACGGGTTTTTAAGGCCACGCAACTCGCCGACACGTGCCCGTGAACGTGCACTGTTCCCTACCGTCAGAGGGGAAAATAAAACTTTCAACGTACTTTTTTCCCGTTTTCAGAGTCGGTGTCCCGTCGGTCCAAACAGCTCGCGCACGGTGCCGTCAAACTGAAATTTAAATAACTCCTCTTTGGCCCGTTCAGCCAATCAGCTTAGAGCTAAAGGGCGGGACCGGAATCGAGACTCGATTGAGAGGGTCTGCAGGCCGATCCGGTCCAAGAAGTAAAAGGAGTCAAATGTTTTCCTGCTTGGTTTTTCTCAGCGTGGGACATAAAAATGACCAAATGAAAATTTTAGGAGTTAAAAAAAGATAAATATTGCCGAATATACATAAAAGTGTCCATTTATTCATGTTTAAATAGTCTCTTTCTCTGGGAGAAGCTGTATTATGCGCAGTGCATGATGGGATTTGTAGTGTGACGGATGGGACCAATATTTCAGACGGGTCATAACCATAGACATTTTTTTTCCATGGCAATTTTATAGCTGAATATATGTATATGTATAGATTATAAATGTAGATATGAAAACGATTAATCAAAATAAGTTAAATGTCAATGTTGGTTCTCTTTATTAATAAAAACCGCCATGTCAACTTTTTGTCAACATCAACTTTTCAGCATCTGGTTCTTATGGACACAGATTACACGTTAAATTTCAATATTTATATAACAGCAACAGAGTTACACGCATTAGTAGCTGAAAACTCTCACCATTAAACGTACAGACGCTGGTTTTGTGTTTCCTTATATCCTAAACATCCGGAGTAAACATTTAGAATCATCACTTTAAAAGTTACAGACCTTTTTTTTGTTCCTATTTGCTTCACTGATATGTTAGTGTGTGTGTGAGTGGGTGAATAAGGTGCATTAACTTTAAGCACTTTGTAGAAAGGCGCTTTATGGAGTTCAGTCTGTTTTCTTTTATTAGTTTAAGGGGAGTTCTGCCCCATCCAAGATGGCAGACGCGCTGACGTATCCTAGCAACCAACCTGCTCAATGCAGAGTCTATCTACACATATCGATGTATAACTCCCAAAAAACATGGAAGTATTTTGCGAACCGTGAAAAATTGTCTTCCAAAGCGTGTGTGAGTTTGATAAATGCGCTGTAACAGATTATATGTGTGTGTGTGATTAGTGGCTGTGGACTCATGTGTTGTGAAGATATAATTAAAAACATTAAAAGTTGAAAAATGTGATTTATTTGGTGTACTGACAGCACCGAAAAGGACTCGGGTGTCCGTGGGGAGGGCCCCCGGCGGGAGCAGGAAGGCCTGGCGTGTCGAAGAGAAAGCGAAAGTCAAAGCTTCCGACACGCACACACACACACACCCCGACACGGTGACGCGAAGCCCCCCAGAAGTCCTCCGAAGCCCCCCAGAAGTCCTCCGTGGGCCGGTATGCTGCACTCCCTGAACCCCTGCCAGCAGCAGGCGGAAGGATTCTGCTTCGAAAACAGCCGCAGGTAAAGGGGCCGCCAGTTGCCAAGGCGACGGCACGTTCCCAAACCCAACCAACGACCCGCGTGACTGTTTGTTTGTTTGTTTGTTTTTATGTTTCTTTGTTTGTTTGTGTCCAAAACAGGAATGCTGTGCTGGAGTCCAGTTTCTCAGAGGGTTGCAACAAAGTTCCGAGTGCCAGAAAGACAGGGACCACCATTGCTGGGATAGTTTTCAAGGTAAGGGTTGTTGTTCCGGAAGTGGGACGTTCTTTTTCTTCTTCTCTGGTCAAGTTCTGATGCATTAAGATATGATCAAGCTTATACATAGGGTGACCAAACGTCCTTTTTAGCCCACCTTTTTAATCCTGTCCGGGCGTCCGGAGGGACAAGTGGGACAAAGGATCTATACTTAGTATATAGATACAAAAAGGATCTAAATTTAGTCTATATCCTTGTTGTTAGTTGATTTTGTGTGGTTGTGAGACTGTTTAATTTCTTCCATTCAGAGGGGGTTCAGAGTTGTTTAGTTTAAGCTGTATTTTCCAATCCAGAAGAGGTCATATTTAGAACATTATTTGATTTTATTTCTTTATTATAAAGGAGGGCTATCATTTAGTTCCTGGTTGTCACAGATTGTGTTTTACCACCAAAGTTCTTTTTGTCCCATTGAGGTCTAATAAAGCCTGTTCATGAACATCTGAGAAGCCTGTTTGGAAAGGCAGAGTTCCTCCTTTCTGGAAATCAGAACATGGCCACCCTATTTTACATATAGATGGTTTTCATAAATCTATGCATCCCGTGTGTTTGGAGCTGGTCAGATGGCCTCAGCATGTCTTTGCCTTAGGATGGAGTGCTCCTGGGGGCAGATACCAGGGCCACCGACGACATGGTGGTCGCTGACAAAAACTGCATGAAGATCCATTATATTGCTCCCAAGATTTAGTAAGTACACATATTTAATGACAACCACTTCCAGGACCTGTCAGAGGTCTCTGATGGTCTTACGATGGGTCTGGCTCCAGAACCGGACCCAAACTGGAGGACGGGACTCTGTAGTGGCTGAAGAGTGGTGGGCAGCTGTTTATGTGTGTGCTCTGCAGCTGCTGCGGAGCCGGCGTGGCTGCAGACGCAGAGATGATCACACAGATGATGTCATCCAACGTGGAGCTCCACATGCTCAACACCGGCCGACCCCCTCTGGTTGCCATGGTAACCAGGCAGCTGAAACAGATGCTGTTCAGGTGAGAACACGACCCAATGCAGAGCAAATATAAACGATTGGCAAAGGACTTAAATGATCCCAAGGTGTTCAGAGAAAGGTTAACTTTAACTTTACTTCGTGACAGTGTTTGGAAAATAATGATAGAGCAGAAAACTATTCTATTTACCGGATAAAGACGTTTGAGTCCTGTGTTTCAGCCTGGTTGGGTGTCTCTGTGTGTTAACGCCTTGTTATATTTTTCGAAACGAAGTTGGATGGCACAGTGACATCTGTTTTTTATTTTTTATTCTTCTTTCATTTAAGATACCAGGGTCATATGGGCTCTTCGGTGATTGTTGGAGGAGTGGATGCTACTGGAGCTCACCTGTACAGTGTCTACCCACACGGCTCCTATGATAAACTACCTTTCCTCACCATGGGTTCGTGTGTGCTCATATTCACTTTATAACTTAATGTGACATTTTACCAAATACCGCTTATTCCCTGATGGGGTCGCGGGGGGAACTGGAGCCTTTCCCAGTGGTCAACGGGCGAGAGGCCGGGTACACCCTGGACAGTCCGCCAGTCCATCGCAGGGCCACACACAGGACATACAAGGACAAACAACCACTCACACTCACATTCACTCCTTAGGGCAATTTTCCCCAATCTCCAATCAGCCTAACATGCAGGTTTTTGGATTGTGGGAAGAAGCCGGAGAACCCGGAGAGAACCCACGCAGACACAGGGAGAACATGCAAACTCCACCCAGAAAGGTCCTGGTTCCCCCGGGATTCGAACCTAGAACCCTCTTGCTGGGAGGCGACAGTGCTAACCACCACACCACCCCATGTTAACATATTAATATGAAGTAGTAGTCAATTTTATGTAGTTTTTCTTGCCTAAAACACATCCATGTGCAGACCAAACTGGACTCTTTGGATGTAATAGAACACTGTTTTCTCTCTAGCTTCCTGTATGTTTGCTTGAGCGTTTTACCTGTAACTTTATCTACTCTGACTCAGGGCCTTTTCTAACTAAATCAAAAGTAAAACATGTCATGGCAGCACAGCAGGGGCTGAGGGCTGTCGGGATGATGATTCAATCATTAAATCAATGTGCCACCATTATTTTGCAGATCTGCTAGATAAAGTTGGACAGTGTCACAAAAAGATCAAATCAAAATAAATAAATGCTTTATTATTTTCTGATTAAAGGTTCTGGAGCGGCAGCAGCAGTTTCTGTGTTTGAGGACAGATTCAAACCAAACATGGAGGTAAGAAACCCCATCCCCTGTCCCCCCAGGGCGGATTTTCTTTTTCAGTAATTGAAGCATGCAATACATTTTTTTCTTTAATTTGAATAATCATTTAAAATCCAAAGAACCTACAAAAAGACAAAAAAAAGAAGCATTTGATGGTAAACCATAACTATATTGAACTATATTTTATATAGTGGTATTATATGTATATATTTACATATAATTACAATTTGGATCTCTTTAAATAGAATTAAACAGATGTGCTGCTCAACAGAGACTTCTGATCACACCTTTCAGGCTTGGTCATTTTTACATTAAGAGGAGAAAATAATATGTTATTATTCCTAAAATGGGAACTACGCCATTAGGACTTGAAATTTGTTTAATTGTATTTATAAAGTGTCCAATTCTAACTAATTTAATCTCTAGGCTCTTCAGAATATTACCTTTGGGATTTCACAGACATGAATACAACAACAACACATGTGATGTGGCTCCAACAATAGCATTTCAACTAATAAAGCATCTTAAATTTCCCCCAGACATTCATAACTGACAAATTTCCTGGAGAGAAAACTGACTTTCTTTTGCTTTCTGGACCTCTAACGCACACCTGCAACAAAACTGAATCTATTCTAGATTGAAGCTAGTTTAAGCTAGTTTAAGGTAGTTGGCTCAGACAGCCATTTAACCAGCACACGAATAAATGTGTTTAACCTTTAATGCTCAATTTCAGAAGTCGTTTAGAGAAACACCAGTGCTTCCACATCAGCTCAGTTCTTTAAGTTAGAACATTTCTGTCTGATCCGTATCACAAACGGATCCACTAACATCTATTTAGTTTTTCACAGCGTTGGTTTTCATTTGTAAAATCTCAATGAGTCACTCATGAGTTCAGAGATGGAATCTAGGCCTCAACACCTGTTCCAGATGTATCTCTGAGCTCCACGTTTCCCCTTTGGAGAAAGTCCCAGCAGAAGAATGATGGGGATCCTTGTTCTGAATCCTTTCTCTGACGTTTTCTGGGCTTGCGGTGACTAGATGAACCCTGTTCTCTTTGCCCTCCTGCAGCTGGAGGAGGCGAGGCAGCTGGTGAGAGACGCCGTGGCTGCAGGGATCTTCTGCGACCTGGGCTCAGGCAGCAACGTGGACCTGTGTGTCATCACCGAAGCTGGGGTGGAGCTCCTACGGGGCTATGACAAGCCCACCCAGAAGGGGAAAAGGTGATTTAAATCCAGAGTTTTCAGCATGGAGACATAATAAAACACTCCTCGATGCTCTCCCTGGTAATCCTCTGCTGAGTCAGCATGTAGTAATCAACTCCTGGAGAAGAGTAATGATATTAAAATATCTTTAGTTATTTATTCTAATATTAGTCTGAAAATAACATTTTTAGACTATTATATATGCCCCACACCCCCCAAACGAAGTGTAAAAAGAGATTAAATCTATCCATATTGAGGCTGCTTTAGTCTGTCCAGGTGTCCGCGTTGTAAAAGGAGATATTTAGATCTTCTAACTAGTAATTTAATAGACAAAATTAACAAACACAGATACGTTTTCCCTAAATGCTTTTTTCCAACCTTTTGTCTGCCTCGTTTTAAGAGTGATTATTATTTTGTACTTTTGCCTTTCCATTCCCAGCGAGAGCACCTTTATTTCTATTAAAGTTTTATTAAGTAAGTTATTAAGTAAGTTAGTATTATCATAACAGCCAAAAATAAGACACAGGACACATTGAGGGTCGTCAGCTAAAAGGAAGCTGAGATGAACGATGATGCTTCATTTCTAATTGGGCAAAAAGTTTTGTTATTTTTCTTTAAGGTTTGAAAGATTCTTGATGGAAGTTTGTCAAAGTTATATGTTTAGTAATTGGTTCGCTCTTTAAATATTTATCTGAAATGACAAACTTTTTTGTCAAATAGTCATATTAAACTTAAAAAGTGATTAGTCAAGATGCTCAAATAGTGGAGCCTGTAATTAACACGATCAATTAAAATGTGTCCCACCTCTAATATATGAAATCAGTTTGAACAATGTGATTTTGAATTCAGATCAAGTCTTTCTGTTCTTTGTGTCTTTTAGGGAGGGATCTTACAGGTACAAGCCGGGCACCACGGCCATCCTGACCAGCTCTGAGACCCGGCTCCCCCTGGACGTGGTCCAGGAATCGGTTCAGCTGATGGACACTGAGTGACACATTTATGATTTCAATGTCTTCAACTGCATTTGAACTGTACTACACAGATTAAAAAGTAAGCACTGTTTCATAAAAGTATTAAATAAATCCTTAAAAGTCCCTGGTGGTGCTCTCTGGATTGACCTGGATGTGAACTGAGTTCTACCTGACCTGGTAGAAGCCTGTACTCTTCTATAGATCTTATATAGATGCAAAAAGGATCTAATCTTAGTATAAAGATTAAAAAAAGGATCGCAACATAGTGTACTATAGATACAAAAAGGATATAAACCAAAACATGGCCGCCCGAACACACACAAAATCCGACACAGACTTGTCACCGTGGTGTTTTAGGAGGAAGTCATTTGAAAACAGAATCCCGTTAGTAAACACAATCGCAAACTTCCAGCCTCTCTTTGGGATCTCTGCTTTCCAGAGTCTTGACTCACTCGCAAGACACTTTAGAGTTGTCCTAAGTCTCTCCAGAGTTTTAGGCCCTGTACGTGTTAAGCAGAAGACCTGGTGTGTTGGACTTTTAATGGTTTTAACACATAAGCAAAAAGGTTTGAGGAGAAATTCCAACCTGCGTCACGCTGGATGGATGTTAATCTTTTTGTCCTGTTATTTGTATTTTACTAAGTATGTGTAGTCTGAAGCCTACCCATCTGAAGCATCCCCATCTGAAATAAACACATTCTTAAGATATGATCAGTGTTACCCAATATGGGAGGACAAGCTATCGTCTCCAGACCAGCAGCAGCACTTAAGATGAGACACGGAGGCTCATTTTAAGACCTAAAGGAAGACCAGATATGGGAAGGTTTGAAAACTGAAAAAAAAAAAAAGACAGGGCTTTTTCTGACCTCCCCAGATATGATGCATCATTCTGTACTTCTAATTCAGAGCTGGGTGATGATAAAAAACTTATTTTTTCATCCAAATCTGTCTGAGCTGGGTCTCTTCCTGCAGCATTTTCACCTGAAAAGCTCCATAATACGTTAATAATATGTTAATAAGTACAGCAGAATCACTCTTTCAGTCACATTTGATAATTATCATTGACTTGATTTACCTTTGGTTCAATACAGCTAAAATGATCAAATCAAAGTTCAAATCAAAGTTTCAATCATGAAATATTTTTACTGCTGATGTTCGTGTTTAGTTTTGTGGATTAAAGTGGCGTGAGATGGGATTTTATCTCACAATAGTGTAGAAACACTGAGCTGAAGATGGAAAGCAAGAACACAACATGGTGGGAATGAGGATAAACGACAACAAACAGAAGCCGGTGTTTACATTTTTACTTCCACTTTGGATGATAAAAACTGTAATCCAGTGCTTCAAAAGAGCTAAAACAATCCTAAATCTTAGACTGGTATGTAACCCTGATTTTTGGATGGCTGCCACTCCTCCTCCTGCCCCTGTGGTTCCAGGAATGAGATTATTTCAGTAGTTACAGGGAACAGATTCACTGATGCTACAGGATCCTCCAGCTGTGGCCAGCTGTGAGATAATGTGTCAGACCACACCTATGCATCTCCACCTTGGATTAAAACTAAAAATAATTGCAGTGTATAGAAATAAAGCATTTGTCCTTACACTCCAAAAACGAAGAAAAAACCCAACATGTTTGTTTACATGTGTTTTACACATGGAGGAAACAGAACAATAAACTCTCCACATTCACACATTGCTTCCATTTCCCTCTGTCCTTCTGTCTGACGGTCCATCTTTTACACAGGTCTGTGTTTGATTTACTGCCAACCTGTCTGACAGACAGGTTAGTCACCTCTTTCCAGAACATTTGGTTCTCAGGGCATTCACACTCACAATGAATCAGTTTCTTTTTCATTCCACCAGTTTGTGCTTCTGTCTGGGATGTGAGCTGACATATGATGAAGTTTCCCAGGCGTAAGTGTGGATAAAAGCATGTTTTCTTTTGTAAAGACTTTGTTTTTGAGCAGTTATGCAAACTTTATTCCATTCTGCCTCTCCCACTTCCTCTTGTATGTAAATGTTTAAAGCCTTTAGTCGTCCACAGACTGCTGCCATCCATCTGCAGGTTGTAGGGTTTGGAAACAGGACCTTTACTTTCTACATTTATATGTTGTATTTCCTATAATGTTGACAAAGTGAGACACACACCATTTGCTTATTTCTGGATAACATAAAGCTTTTCATTTTACATATTTAAAGAAGGGTTTTTTTGGAACGTCATACAATAAAGACAGCTGATCAAAGGAGATTCCATCCAAATTCTTTATTTTTCCTTTGTACTCAAAAAGCCATCTTTTCCCTGGGCAGACCTGCTTATAAAGAGAAGGCAGACAAAAAACTGACTGCTTTTCTCCATGTGTTTTAAAAAGTTTATGTAAAGCTGGTGGCTGCAGTCCGGAGGCTTCCTGTAACGAGGGGGCGGGGACATACTGGAAAACAGCTCGGAGGACCACCCCTTCCATGCGTCAGCCTCCTTTGATCGACAGCTTTTGTGGCCAATCAGAGACCGCTCTGCGGCCTTCTCACACATTCCTAAACCATCCGCAACCTGCTTATTATTATCAGCAGACCACAACTTAAACTCGTCACTACGATGTTAGGCTGCATAAAAATGTGTTAGTTCGCTAAACCGATCATAGTCATATGTTCATATATACTATATACGTACATTTGTAATATTTATGTCTATGAAACCGATTGCGCCACCCGTTATATTAACGGGAAGTGGGCGGGCCCAAATGAGAACCCAGCCAGCGACGTGACTCAGGTGCTGGTGGCCACTTCCGACGGTTGTTAAGGTTTTATCTAAAGGATTGTGCGTCTGTAGTTTCCTAGGTAAGTAAAAGCACATTGTTTGTGACCGGAGACACAAACTCGTCGGCAGGAACGGTAACGGTTAAGGAACTGCCGACACCAGTAAGTGAGAAGTGGCGTGTTAGCATAACCCTCCGCGGTTAAACGTTGTTTCTGTCGTCTCGGTTAGGTCAAACGGGGCTTTAGGATGTCACACTGAGACGAAGAATTGTCTGCTTTTCTTCTGTGGGAGTAATTCCGGTTGGTTTGCCCGTCCTGACTGTGTGTGTCTGTCTCCGTGCAGTGGTCATGGTGGCTGCCAGGCTGCTCCAGCTGCTCGGACTAGTTTGCCTCAGCTCACAGTTCCCGGCCAGACACGGTCAGTATCCTCCATCTGGACTCTGGATCAAAAACACACAGAACCTGCTCCTTACCTGATTTAAAAATGGGAATATAAACTCAGAGAAGCATATGACTTCATGCACAAACGTATTTTAGCCGTGTCTTAATAGATTATACACAATCTGTTCACTGCACCTACAACTTATTATATTTTACTTGTATTATTTGTACATGCTTATATTGCATTTATGTTGTAAATACGTCTGGATATTATTTTGACTTTTTACCTCATTGTGCTGGGACTGTCACTATGTGTAAAGCTGCTGCTACACTGCAAGTTCTAACTAACTAACTAACTAACTAACTAACTAACTAACTAACTAACTA